CACTGCTGATAAACCATTAGTAATAAAGTAGTAGAACAAAGCCTGGTAAAATTGCAGGACTTGGATCTGTTTTGTCTGAAAGAGATGTGAAGCTTCGGAGCACTGGAACACAGAGAGCACAGTGACATTCTGGTGGTTTGTAGAAGGCAGCTACAAGCTGGAGCCCAGCACTGACCACGGCTCAATCAAGGTCTATTACAGCCTTATCTCTGGAGCTTTCGGCTTATCTTAAGATAGCAGACTTGGAGTTTGCTTAGTGTTAGAGAGTGTGCATCTGTCATGCAAACCCATTTAAACGTAGCGTGATAACGCGCATGTGCTAAAAGAACATATTAAAGCTCGTTTACAATTTGTTAGTTAGTTTACCTACCTAACCTTGGCTGGTCCCTAAACCAGGAACTATCATTTTATTATTTTTTATGTAGAATAATTAAGGAAGAATTGAAATTGCAGTTGTGGTGATGAACGAGTTAGTTTGTTCGATGGAACTCTTGCAATCGGGCTGAGTGATGTGTGTGAAAGGGGAATGTGCACGTAGTGTAAAGCGCTTTGAGTGGTCGGAAGACTAGAAAGGTGGCTATACCGTAGGCCAGGTCCATTTACCATTTACCCGTTATTATAACTGTTGCTCTTATTGTTATTTAGAGAGGTCCAGGAATCAATGGCTACTCGACTACCTTTACTCATTGACTCCATTACCTTGTTTCGCTATAGAGTACAGGTATCGCTGTTTGTGTAAAGCAACTTTATGTTCTGTTACAGTATTTTGGTTTCTGTGAGGCAGATTTTACACACAGCGTGTCCATTTTGTGCTTCTCAATAAGTTCATCAAATCCAAATGTGTCCAGATGTCTGCTCTTAAGATACTGGGTGCTTTTATAATCAAGAGCGACGCTGTAATGACGTGACTTTAAACTTTTTTGTCGATGTTGGTAAACTATAACTGTGTGTAAACTCCCAATTAATCCCGATTATTTTGGTTAATATTGAAATCACATTATTAAACAAAATTTAAAGATTACTTTACTTTAACTGTAGTTTATTTAGCAGAATTAATGGCCAATGATTTCCCCTCTAACTATACGGCATACTGCTGATGTCAGTCTAGCCCTGTACCAGTTTGCTGAATCCATCACCAACAGTTCCAGCGTCTATGTCCTCCTGCTTTGACCGTTTGAAAGTTGTGTTCTTGGAAAAGTTTCCGTTAACTGGCAGCACCTGTGCTCCTGCTGCAGCTGCTTCCTCAGAGAGGATGTGCGAGCTTGTGGCTTTCACAATAAAAAAAAAAATCCTTGTGGCTGATAAGCTTGGTAACATTTAGCTGATTTTAGATTTTAAAATAATTTTCCCATACCCATGAATTTATATAAAGATATTTTGCACCCATCTTATTCCAGCATCACATATCATACATCATATAGCATATATAACTTTGTTTATGAATTCCTTTTATTAATGAACCTGTAACACATTGACTGAAAACAACAGCAGTACATTATGTAGGGCAGTCTCTGTTTTGGTTTTGGTCAAAATTGAGTTCTGACTGAAATTGAACTTTTAATTGTCACATATTCCCACAGTCAGTGCAACTGAGAATACATATTTAATAAGCACATAACTGCTGTTCCACGTAAAATGCATTTGGCTGGCTCTAAACAGTTATGTTGTTAGTGTAGTTACTGCAGTTAGGGTTAGGGTTAGTATAGGCAGTATAATACAGTACCTGGTTTGATCCACCTGTCCTCCTGCAGATTCGTGGTGGGCTCCAACAGGGTGATCTTCATGCTGCGGGACGGCAGCATGGCCTGGGAGGTCAAAGATTTCCTTGTGGCCCAGGAACGCTGCGCCGACGTCACCGTGGAGGGACAGGTGTTCCCCGGGAAGGCCGCCAAGAAGGATGACGGCAAACACAAGCAGCAGAATGAAGTCAACGCCAAAAAGAAGGGCAAGAAGAAGACGGAGAGCAAAAATTCAGATTTGGAGGGGAACAGGGCCAGCCATGTGAAACAGGAGCTGTGACGGAATAACGTAGAAGAAGAATCACAGGTCCTCTTTTCTTCCGGCCTTAAGACACGCTCGTTCTCACCACCGATCTGTGAGCAATAAACTCATAAGGGGCTGCAGGACCACGTGCTGGTTCAGAGTCGGTGGTATGAGTGAACTAATAACCCGGACTGCTCAGCTGGTATCATAATTCAGAGTTTTACTCCACCTCTCCCTCATTGGTACAGTGGAAAGCACATTCTTGAAATCATTGTCACAGAGTGGTAACAAGCTCTTTAAAATCACCTGTAATGTCAGTGCTGTCTGGTTTCTTTAGTTATTTTCTGTTGATCAGTTATCACCGAATGAAAACCAATACGAGCACATTTTGTTTAATAGTACTCAAGGTAAGCATTAGTAATTGTTCTTCTTTGCCCTGTTCGATACAGACATGGAGTGATTCAGCAGACCTCCTGGTCCTGGTCTGTTCACATCCAGCAGCACGTCAAGATTTGATACAAAAGTAGCACCCACGTTTTCTGTTTGATTTTTCACTGAAAATAAAAAATATTTTATATAATTGTATGAGTTATCTTTCATTGCTGAGGTTAGAATCAAACCTCTCCTGGATTCCTGTGTGAGGGCATTGTTTATCTCAACCTGCTGCTCTTTGGCTTTACTGTAATGGCTGACACTGCGTACAGCAGAGTCACCTGAATAAACCATTAAAATCATTTTCCTTCATTTCCTAGACTAAATCATATTTACATATTTACATGAGACAATCAATGCGGATAAAAGCAGACAATACAGACAAAATCATGAACAGTCAAAAGTAGGACCGTTTTACCAAATGTGCACCATAGTGGGGGCTAGAACAGAGATGTGGCATTGAAAACTAAACCTGAACTAAAAAAGTAAACATTGGCATTGAACACTTGTATTGGAAATACATTAAAAATATATTTCACTTTACTTTTACTGTGTTTTTCAACGACAATCTCCGAACTGTTGGGGCTGGGTCCTTGCAGCAACAGCCATGGATTCAGGGCCGGCCTGTGGACCTTTGTTGCTTGTCACCCCCCATCTTAAGCTGTCCTATCCAATGAATAGGATCCAGTAGCCCCAATAATTCCAGTGTCAACAGGTCACACTCCTGTGAGAAGTGACATGCATGATGTAAAAGTCACATGGATTCTGATATGACTGTTGACAGTGAAGCCACACAAATAATGGGTTTAGACCACATATGAAAGTGGTCCAAATCTGAAAAGATCAGATTCCATGTGATTTGTGCTGTTCACACTATCACGAGAAACAAAATCAGACTTGGGCCACTTGCAGTGTGAACGTAGCAGTACAATCCCAGAATGCCCTGAACAAACCCAGTGTCACTTCGGTTGTAAGGGATTCCTGTGTGTAGGTATTTTATTATATAAAAGCACACAGAGGCCACGAGGAAAGAAGTCCAGACCCATTTTATCATTGAGCACTCTAGTGTTATCAACCATGCATAAAGCTTGGTTGCTATGATGCACTCCTTTATGCCCACATGAGTAATTTCAGTGAAAATGTGTTGCATATTACGGAAGCGTATTGCTGCCACACTACGAAAAAGAAAATAGGCTCAGTATCACGTAATTACGTGAAAAGTTTATTGTTATATCAATATCTTTTTCAATGCCGGTTGCAATGCCAGTTAACGTCTTTTGGGAAAGAAACGAGAAAAATCGCTACAAAATAAGCCAAATACTGGCGCAGCAGCTGAAGCTAACTCAATCGGGCACATGCTTTCGTTTTAGTGATGTGTCTGGCACGAACAAAATTTTAGTGATGTGTCTGGCACGAACAAAATTCTACAGGTGACAACACATCCAGCATGTCTCTCCCAACAAGCACCGCAAACTTTACTCCAGAGTCAGCATCTCTAGGTGATGTAGCAAGTAGTTCCACAGCTGCATATGATGTTGTGCATATCACCATAAAACTTCATAGAGTTAATCTTCTGGAGGAGATGATAGACCAATTCAAGGATGCAGCTCTCCTCAAACACCAACTAAAATACACCTACATAGACGAAAAAGGAGCTGACGCAGATGGTGTCTCAAGGGATGTGTACCCTGCATTTTGGACCGAGCTACTGGACCACACAGCTGAAGGGGAGGACCTGAGGGTTCCATCTCTGTGTCCTAAGTGGCAAGAAGAAGAATGGAAATCCATTGGCCGAATTCTTTTGAAGGGATTTCAAGACCATGG